ATGGGGGGGGAGGGAAAATGGGACACCTGTAATACTTTCAACAATAAAGATAAATTTAAAATAATAATAAATTAAATATATATATATATATATGTTCATGACTATATTCTATTCATTGTATCCTAGATGATGTTCTGGCTATGAATTCTATTTTGTCTGAAATTAAATTTACAACCCCTGTGTTCTTGAAAAAAATAAATAAATAAATTTTTTTAAATGCTGTAGTATTTGTGTATAATCTATGCACATTCTCCCACATACTTTAAACCATCTCTAGATTACTTATAATACCTAATATAATGGAAATGCTTTGTAAATAGTTGTCATACTGTATTGCTTAGGAAATAATGACAGGGGGAAAAAAATCTGTAGATGTTCAGTACAGATGCAACCATGCAATCATCTTGGGCCTAACTGCATAATACACGTCATCAACAACATAACGTGTGTTTTTTTAATATTTTCAATCTGCAGTTGGTTGAATCCATGGATGCGAAACCCGTGGATATGGAGGGCCAACTTTATATACTATGTTTTTTTCTATACATACATACATACATACCTTTTTCACTTAAAGGGAGCACTTTACAGCTTAATTTTGGCACATCTGAATTGTTGGCATCACTACTTTTATGCTTTGGAGCCATTATTGAGTACCATAAGGGCTACTTGAGCACAAACTCTGCAATATGGCAACAGTCGATCTGATGACCAAGACGGCTACTAAGTGACTAAGTAGTAGGTAGCATATACAGTGGGCCCTCTATCTGAAGGTTTAACATCTCAAATTAAACCAACTGCAGACTGAAAATATTTGGGGAGTGAAAAGCTACAATTTTGTTGACTATGGAATTAGACCTACAATGGTTGCATGGTTGCGTCTGTATTGGACATGTAAAATCCTTTTCTTGTCGTTATTTCCTATTGTGCAGGATTCTGTACTACCTATGGTTTCAGGCATCCACTGGGGGATAGTCTTGGAACTCTCCCTGCTAGAAAGGGGGGACTACTGTATTGAACAGTCTTTGTATTAAACAATCTTCTAAAGGTAGACATTTTGATTGTCTAGTTGTCTGCACTTTTTTCTTATTATTTAAAATGTTACCATGGACATCTTTGTACATTCTTATTTCTTTGCCTCTTCTGATTTAGGTCCATGACATAAATTCCTGAAACTCCAGTTTCAGGGTTAAAGGTTCTCCATAGCAGTACAACTAAATGTACTGCTGTCTAAAAGGCTATGTTACTTTTTCAAGCAAAAGCAATCTTTCTTTTGTTTTCTTCTTAAATTAATTATTGTTTCTATTATTGCCTTCTTGTATTCACAACTTCAGTCCAAAGTTTCTTTTTATGTTTTAATCATCTCTGATGTTCTCTCCATGCCAACTTGAAGCAGAACAAAAGGGTATTAAACACAAATGCTACCTTCTCAAGACTTCTCAGTAGTCACTAGAAGCCCAGAGCCACATGCATTTTCGCTGCTTCCAGTATATTGGAAAAACAAAAGCAAAAAAATCCAGTCCAGCACAATAGGAAGGATAAGATATAGACCTTATCTTTCCTAGTGGGAAATTTCTTTCTTGCCATCTCTTTCCTTAATGAATAGTGCCTTTGTTAGTGTAAAAGGCTTGAACTGCTGACGAGGAATTTGGGTCACCCGCACCAGCAGACGCCCACCTGCCCAGGCTGGAATCCATGCCTCACCCTCCTCTCTGCTCTGCTCTCTGGCCCATGCCCCACTTTCTGCCAGAGTGGTCACTGGGTCATGTGTGCCAAGACGGAGACAGACAATCACCTAGCCATTTTTGCAGAATTTGTGTGCTGGAATTGAGAACTGCTGATGATTTAGCAAGGCGACAGCCCAGGGTTTCTGGTTACCTAAAGAGGAAGGCTTTTGAGGCAAGCAGTTGGCAGGCTCCTTGATCTTGGGAAGTGGAGTTGGGCTTACCCTCAGCAAAAATCTCCAGAAGCATAATGATTTTTCACAAATGGCAACAGTGTGGCCATGATCCTCGTATCTCTATAAATACTTCATCATGCACAAGTCTCTGACTTTTTAAATCAATCATGGGCTCCCCAGAATGAAACTGTAAGTGACCGTGGCACACACCTATTTCTACCACCATTTGTTTCTTTAACTGTTATGTCTGGAAGAGATGTCCACTTTACTAGCCTCCTTTGCAGTAGTCATGTGACACAATTCTGGCCAAACAGAAATTTATTGGGTACTTCTAGAAAGGCTTCATTCAGCTTTTCCTGATAAAAGAGACAGACAGTTGGCAACCACCTTGCAATCATAAGGGAAATGTTAAGAGAATCACACACAGAGGACAATCCAGATCTCTAACATTGTTCAGTTCCTGAACCAACTACCTACTTTTTGATTTTTTGTTATGTAAGAGAAAATAGCTCTCTATTGTTTACGCTACTGTTAACTGAGTTTTCTGTCACTTGCAGCCAAAAACGTCGTGAAATGATCAAGAAATCCATAAGGACTTCGTTGATTTATATTTGCTTGACACATATGAAATTCATATTTTTGTAAATCAAAATGATCAACAGTTTTGCAACATTCAACCTGCAGATGTGTGCCAGTTAGTATGGTTTTGACAGCAAATAACAGAGCACTTTAATTCAATGCATTAGTGAAGGAGGCCTTGACTCACATAAGAAAAGTACTGAAATAGGCATCCATAGGCTCAGCAATATCATCAAGGTCTTAGGTTCTTCCCAGGTCTCTCATCTGCCTTCTGCAATGTCAGCTTCATTCTCAGGCTGCTTCCTTTAGGTGCACCGGCAGCAGGATTGCAGGCTGCATGCTTCCTTGTCCACTTCCATCAGGGGAAAAGGAGTTTCTGCCCAGCATTCTGGAGAATTCTAAAACTCCCACGCAATGCCCCCCTTAGGTCACATGCTTATCCTTGAATCAATGACCATGATCTTGGATGATCTTGGATGATCTTGGATGATCTTGAATAAAAAGGTGCTGACTGGTGTAAATCAAACAGGTTTCGCCCCGGGACCTGAGATAGGGTCAACTTCCTTCTCCCAAAACTCTAGGTACTTTCAGGAAGTGGGAATCACTCAGGGAATGAATGTGTACCCCTGGCCCTCCGTTATGCCCCAATGTCCATACAATCAAGTTAGGGATTTGGAGCTGGCAGCAACAGAAACAGACAACACAGAATGGGAAGACAGGCAAAGTTGGAGTGTTATTTGAAGAAAGAGGAAGGGTGCTGGACAGGCAACACTACTTAAAATATCTACCAGTTATTTCATAGACGGTCCCAGAGTGTATTTATTTAACCCAATAATGAAATTTGGGGTTGTAAGGAGCAGAGAAGAAGGGAGCCTGACAGAATGGTGAGAAGCGAGAGTGGGTCCAAATAATGCGGCCTTCATCAGGAGACGCAGAGAAAGGTCTGCTGGTGGGAAATTCCCATTAGGGATGTGAGCGAAGACTTTAAGGAACGAAATAGTAATGACACAAGAATAAACACACAAGCAAACGAACAAAGAGTGTAACAGAAGAGAGTCCAGAAATAGGTCCAAGTACCGACGATGACTTCATATATCAAGGGCAGCATTTAAATTCCACTGGGAACCGTGTAGTTTAACAAACGATGCTGGCACAACTGGCTCTCCATCTGGCAGAAAACAAAGTTAGACCCTAGTTCATATATACACAAGCATACATTCCAGCTATATTAAAGATTTAATTTTTTTTTAAAAAAAAGGACATGAGAATTTTTGATTGGAGAATAAGGGAAACTTTTCTAACCCAGAGCCCAAGCCTGCGGTAGTTCTCATGCCGCCTCTTCCATTGGCCCCTCGTGGGCAACGTCACGGGACATACAGCCAATGAGAATTGAGCATGGGCGGCGCGCTCGGCCAATAGGGCCAGGGCGGGAGATTTGAAAAGGCCTCCGAGGGGGCCCGGCCGGGTCGAATCAGTCGTTTGCCAGCTCCCTGGAGGTTGGCTGTGCCACGGGCCTCGGGTGAGCCGATCTCCTTTCGCGCCGAGAGAGGGCTGGTGATCAGGCAGGTCGGGGGGTCCGTTGGGTGGTTCCGCGCGCACTGCGTCCGGCTACTGAGCTCTCAAGGGCAGAGGGTCGTGGAAATGGGTGGGGCGTGTAGCAGGGCGGGGGCGTCGGGGCCAGTGTGCTGACCTGCTCCCTTTCACCAGCCCCAGGCAATCGCTTTCGGCTAGATCGGTCGGACCTCTCCCTTTCTCGCTCTCTCTTTTTTTCTACTTCTTACCGCTCTGTTTCCCGTCTTAGCTCAGCTCTCCTCCCTCTTTCCTTCTAAGGATGACTCAGAAGGAGAACGCCTTCCCTTGGCCCTACGGCCGCCACACGGTAAGGGCTTTCCCATTTACCCTTCCCCCACCCCCATGGTGAGTTCCTGCTTGGAGATTTGAGATCCAGCAGAGGGAGATATTCTAAGCACTTCCTTCTCCATTAGGCTCCAAGAGTTCACTGGCAGAATTTGGTCTGGTTATTATTTGCAGCCACATCCTGCCAACTTGAATCTGACCAGCCTGTGAGGGCCTACCTCTGCAGGGCTGAACGTACTTGCTTATATACAAATGATAACTGTGACTAAGCAGGCAGGGTCGGGCCGTCAGGCCATGATTCCCAGCCCTTGTCCTGAAAGAAATAGGCTTAATAATTTGGAATTTATTTTAATGACTGGTGTAAGATAAGGATCTAAGTAGATTTATTTTCCACTTGTTCCAACACCTTTCATTGAAGAGCCTACCCTCCTATTTGAAATGCCACCTTTATTATTATATTCAATTCCCACATCTATGTGGGTCTATTTCTTGACTCTATTTTGTTCAACTTGCTTATTTGTAAATTCTATACTAATATCACTGGGAACAGGTTTTTAGGGACACTGAGGCTTTCTTCCTCTCTTGGCTAAAGAAGGAAGGAATCACACAGGCTTTGCTCCATTTGTAGGGCTTGGGTATCCTGGAAGATCCATCTTTCCCCTTGTCTACCAGCTCCCCCCCTCATGGAGCACTGAGTGAGTTTGTCAAGAGCAGGGGCTGAATGAGAAACCATTGTCACTTCTACAATGGTCACTCCCAAAATAAAGTTTTATGTATTACCCAGAATTTGAAAGTGAGAAGTGGTCCAAGGCCATCGGAGAATCCCTCAGTGTCCCCAAAGCCTGTTGCAAAGGGGTAAATACTAGTATTTGCTGAACATTCAAGGTCTCAAGGACCTTATCTAAGCCTTAATAGACTGAGATTTTTAGGGGACTATGAGAATGTTTCTGTGCTAAAACCCCTTATATTATGGATGTTTCATTACCCCAGCCTTCTATTGCCCCCTGGGGTGGAGAGCTGGGTGAATCAGTTAAGAACAGGACTGTAGAGATTGGACAGCTTCATGCTTGAGAATGTGATGTGGGCCGGGGCCAAAAGGTGAAATGTTAGGTGTTGGGGTAAGTCTTTTGCTCCTTATCTTAAGCTGACTTAGCTTGTTTATTAATAATAAATTAATACGGGGTTCTGAGCAGACTCTTGGGGCTGAGTAGCAATATTGTGGTCTCAGTGTTCCTCTTTGAGCTGCGGTTGGGCGGATGGGCAGCAAGTGCTGAAATGCTGCTTGCAGTACTTTCCAACCTGGTCACTGGGACAAAGGCATCCTCAGAGCTCCCTGTGCTCCTTCTCAGGCTCAATCTGGCCTGAACACCCTGCCACAGAGAGTCCTCCGGAAGGACCCTACCACCCCATCTTCGCTTGTCCTCATGAGCCGCTCCAACGCCCAGCCCACAGGTAACTGGGACAAGGGGAAGAGGACTGACCTGAAGGGACTAGAGTCTGGGAATTGTGCAGGGAAGAAAATGTCAAAGGACAGCCTCAACTTACCTGTTCTTTTCTTAGCTGCCCCTGGCCAGAACAGCAATGGGACACCCAACTTAATGTAAGTGCCCAATCCGTGGGGTGGCAACAGTGGGGGTGGGACAGTGAACAGGTAGGAAACGAGGGAGGTGGAAGCTAAGGGCAGGAGAAATAGAGATTTAGGCAAGAAAGCCTGATCTATCTTCAACTCCCTTGGAAGAGAAATGGGGCTGAGGGAGGGATGGGCTGAGGTGCAGAGAGAAGCCAAACACCTCAGGTGGCCCACAAACCCATGCCCAGCTGCCTTCCCCCACTTTCTAATCAGGAGATCCTTCACAATTGATGACTTTGAGATTGGGCGTCCTCTGGGCAAAGGCAAGTTTGGAAATGTGTACTTGGCTCGGGAGAAGAAAAGCCGTTTCATCGTGGCGCTCAAGGTCCTCTTCAAGTCTCAGATAGAGAAGGAGGGTGTGGAGCACCAGCTTCGCAGGGAGATCGAAATTCAGGCCCATCTGCAGTACGTTCAATGCCCTCTGAGCCAAAGCCCCTCTGCTCCCTCCCCCAGCTCCTCTTTCAACCCCACCACATCCAGAATGTTTTCTCTGCAGCTGTGGCCACTTAGCCCCACTGAGCTCTCAATCCCAGACAGAGCCTTGAATCCAGAGAGCTGTCTCCAGTTCCCCCTTAACACTTCCAACCCTGCCTTGTGTCCCCAGCCTTGTCCAAGTTTGACCCCAGTTTGCCCTATATGGGACCTGTCATCTTTCCCATTTCCTTATGCCAGGATGCCGCCTGAGGCCTCCTCTGTCTCTTCTCCCAGGCATCCCAACATCTTGCGTCTCTACAACTATTTCTATGACCGTCGAAGGATCTATTTGATTCTAGAGTATGCCCCCCGTGGGGAGCTCTACAAGGAGCTGCAGAAGAGCCGCACTTTTGACCAGCAGCGAACAGCCACGGTTGGGAAGGGGTGGGCACCTGGGACGCCTGCATGGGGCCAGAGGCTGGAGGAGGGATGCTGCTTGCAGCTGGAGGTCCATCCTTGTCTGACTGCCTGTCATTGGCCTTCCCAGATCATGGAGGAACTCGCAGATGCTTTGATGTACTGCCACAGGAAGAAGGTGATTCACAGAGACATAAAGCCAGAAAATCTGCTCTTGGGGCTCCAGGGAGAGCTGAAGATTGCTGACTTTGGCTGGTCTGTACATGCCCCCTCCCTGAGGTAGGTGTGCCAGGAGGCCAGCCCTGGGTGTGCAGCTGGGATGTTCAGAGTAAAACCACTCCAAATCTTGTTACCTAGAAACATTTGGGTTGGCCTCATGTAAATACATAGACATAGCAATCTCTTTACAAAAATAGGAGACTCACAGTTTTGTTGCCCAGACTTTCTATTCAATATATTAGGACCCTCTTGCCATTGAGAATACTCCCATATCATTTTTAACAGCTTCATTGTATTGCGTAGTAGAGTTGTAACCTGATATATTTAAGCAGGACATGCTTGATGGACATTCAAGTTGTCTCCATTTTTTCCTTTAATTCTAAGGTGAATATTGCCTTCTTATCTGATTATTTTAAGATATTATATTAAGACATATCCCTCAGTGTGGAAATGCTGAGGCAGTGTGGAAACCCACCTCTGGGGCTTTGGTTTATATCTTCACCCCATTGCTACCCCACAAGCCCTGTCGGAACCGGGTTGGAACACTCCTCTGGTGCAACCTGGGGTTTGGCAATTTGCCTCTGGGATCCCTGCCCACTCCCCTACCCCACTCAGGAGGAAGACAATGTGTGGCACCCTGGACTACCTGCCTCCAGAGATGATTGAGGGGCGCACGCACAATGAGAAGGTGGATCTGTGGTGCATCGGAGTACTCTGCTATGAGCTGCTGGTGGGAAACCCCCCCTTTGAGAGTGCTTCACACAATGAAACTTATCGGCGCATTGTCAAGGTGCGAGGGCTGACCCCAAGTGTCTGGCTGGGGCTTTGTGCTGGCTGCAGGGGTCAGGGGCTAGGGGTGTGAAGAGCATAGTTGTGGGGCCTTTGTAACTCTCCAAATAGAATGAGCAGTCAAGGACAAAGCAGCCAGGATGAAGCTAATGAGTCCTTTCTTCTCCTTTCTCTGCTTCTGCAGGTGGACCTGAAGTTCCCCCCTTCTGTGCCCGTAGGAGCCCAGGACCTCATCTCCAAGCTGCTCAAACATAACCCCTCAGAACGTCTGCCCCTGGCCCAGGTCTCAGCCCACCCTTGGGTCCGGGCCCACTCTCGGAGGGTGCTGCCACCTTCAGCCCTTCAGTCTGCCCCCTGAATCATCCCTGTCATTTACACAGTTGCATCTATATTTGTATGTCTGTATATGGATAGTTGGAAGAAGGGGTCTCTGGCCTGTTTCCTTATCTGTCCTCTACCTCTTTTTTATTTAATAAAGGCTGAAGCTTTTTATAATGATGAGTATAGATGTTTACAGGTGGAGACTTTGCTAGAGAGGAAGCTGTCCCCCATGGGGAGGAACCTGGGAGTTGTCCATGCTGGATACCAGGGATGGCTACTATATTACTGCCCTGGTAGCACCCTTCCCTCAGCTCCCAGCCACCTTGCCCCCACTCTTTTCTTTCCTCTGCTCTGTCTCCCAGCGTGTGGAGGTGCTGGGGACCTCAGCTTCATTCCGCTAAGCCTAATCTCTGCCCACCTCTTACTTCTCGCTCTCAGTTGTCTGACCTCTAGTCTTTCTCCTGGTTCAGTCCCTGCCAGCCTTGGAGCAACTGAACAGTGCTGTGCCCCAGCAGGTGTGCCTTTCTGTTTGTCTTACTGCTCTAGTCAGGATCTAGTACAGGAGTGAATAGAAGCAGTACTGATGGTGTCTCGTTTCTAATTAAGGCTTCACCCTCAGGTGGCAGGCTTACCCTCATTTTGCAGATGAGGTAACTGAGACACATGATCTGCCAAAAGTCACATAGCTAGTGAGTGGGGGAGCCCAATTTTAAAACTCCACATTTAATACCATGCTAGAATGGTATAATGCTGCCTTTTCACAGCACATACAATTATTTTATATATATTATATCACAGAAGTGGAACAAGAATTACAGTTTTTGCTGTTATTAAGTATAATATTAAAAAAATCCTTTATTGGGTTAAAGTAGGGCTATTTTCTCTCTACTTTGCTAAGGGGTTGGTTTTTTTTGTATCAATAGGTGTTGCCTTTCATCAAATGCTTTTTCTGTATTATTTGCTCTTTTAATCAATGTGGTGAAATACATCAATAAATTTTCTTATTTTTATTTTATCTGTTTTTCATGCTGTATTTGATTCCTAGAGCTGCAATAACAAAATACCACGAACCTGGTGATCTAAAACCAACAGAAATTTACTCTGGCAGTTCTAGAGGTCCAAAATCAAGGTGTCCATAGTACCACACTCCCTTTGAAGGCTCAAGGGAAAAATCCTTGCCTCTTCCAGCTTTAGGTGGCTCCAGGCATTTCTTGGTTTGTGGCTGCATAACTCCAATTTCTGCTTCCATCTTCACGTGGCCTTCCCTCTTCTGTCTCTGTCTCTCCTCTGGGTCATAAGAACACTATTCATTTGATTTACAGCCCGCCCAGATAACCCAGGATGATCTCAAGATCCTTGGTTATATCTGCAAAGACACTTTTCCAAAGAAACTGCACATTCATAGGTTCATTGGACATAGACATATCTTTTGGGGGAGGGCCACCATGCAATCCACTACACATGCCCATAGATTGAAACAACTGATATTATAAGGCTATTTTTTCTTTAAAAAAAGCAGTCTGCTCATTTCTCTACCCCGAGATATTCAATTCCAAATCTTTTTGCTGTTTTGTTTTACTTTGCTCTTAGTATTTACCATCTATTTCCAAATCACATGCTTCTGTTGCTATTTCATAATTCTTCAATTTTAGGTATTACCTATTGTTTACCTGCTATAAAGTTTAAGGACTTAACTCTTACCCCTCTGCCACTATGTATATGTACACATTCTGACCCTGCACCCTGATGTAGTTACATCATGCTTTTGGTTAGATTTGTTCATTTGACAATAGTTATTGAGTGCCTTAGACATTCCAAGCTCCATTCTAAAGGCTGGAGATAAAACAGTGAATAGAAAAGAAAAAAATCCTCTGTGCTCATGGACTTTGCAAATCTAGAGGATCAATGTCCAGTGTTTGTATTATCATGAGATGCTAGCCAAGCTGACTCATGTGGATTCTGGTGTTTTTCTGTCTTTTGACTGTCCCTGAAGTCGCCTAATTTGCTCAATCCCCTGGGTATAGATCACTAATCCAGCTCCAAGTTCTTCAGTGCGAGCGCCTAAAGCTATCAACATCCATCAAAGTGTCATTTCTTTGCACCACGCAGGCCTGCTATGGAGTATAGTATTTTGTATTTTTCAGGTCTCAATATTCTCTACCTACCATTATGATTCCTTCTCGGATCCAGGAGTATTTCAAACGTGTTTTTAAAATTCCAAACTCAGGGGCTTCCCCCTACCTGTGCTCTGCCCCTTTTCTCCTTTGCACTCACCACTAAGCCTGCCTGGTAAATGCCTAGGAAATGTTCAATAGATTTGCCCAGTTGCTTTCCAAAGTGGTAGGGCAACTCACACTGCCACCAGCACTAATGGAGGGTACCCACTTTCCTGCACCCTCCTCCAGTGTGTTGGCTTTTCCACTCCCCAAGTCACCAAAGCTCCTTGAGCATGCCACATTTGTTTCCACCTCAGGGTCTTTGCACTTGCTCTTTCCTCTGTCTAGAATGCCATTTGCAGCCTATTTTGAGCCTGAGTCCTGATTTTGTTGAGCTCCTAAATTAACCAACCCACATCAATATTTCTCTCCCTTCCTCTAAAAATCAATAAAAGCATATCCTCAGGTGAGGATAAAAAATTAAGTTAACTAACCCTGGTGTCCTTGGCCATTTTTCTCTTATTACGTGTCTTTTGCTAACTTACTTGTAAAGACAAGGGATATTAATTTGTCATATACTTTGCCAATATTTTTTTTCCTTTCTGCAATTTGTCTTTCAATAGAAAGTTTAGAGTGGTTTTTCTATATTGAAGTTTTTCAGTTTTATGTTGTCAAGTGTATCATCTTTTTCCCTTATGCTATTTGACTTTTGATTTTTCTTTAAAAAACCTTTATCACCCTAAGCTTATAAAAAAAAGAAAATGCCCCTCTGTCCTGGCTCGTGTGTCTCAGTGGTTGAGAGCCACCCTATTGTGTAGTACAGGCCTTTTTGACCAAAAATATTTTTATAAAATATTGAAAAGAATATTCCAAAGCCTCAGAGTATGCATATGTGTGGAAATATGAGTCACATCAAACACCCAGGAGTGACCAACAGTTGGTGACAGTGATAGGCAAATAGGAGAAGTGAGCCCTTCCTGGGAAGTGAGCCACTCCCCAGCAGCCTGCATGCAAGAGATGGCAAACTTTATTTGTAAAAGTCCGGAAAGTAAGTGAGGCTTTGCAGGCCATCTGGCCTCTGCTGAAAGTACTAAACTCTGCCATTATGGCACAAAAGCAACCATAGACAGTACACGAATGAGTGAACATGGCTGTATGCCAATCAAACCATGGACATTAAATTTTGAATTTCATATAATTATATGATTTAATATTCTTTAGATTTTTCAACCATTTAAAAATATAAAAAACTGTCCCAAATTATACTTTGAAAACAAAGGTGTCAGCCACTTCATTATTGTAAATACTTTTGCTCTGTAATACATATGGTGAGAAGTAACAGGACCAATGTCATTAAATTTCTTTAGCTACATTGAGTTTTAAGCAATAAGATTTGAAATATAAGAACATTAACACTTAAGCATGAAATAGAGCTTTTTGTTTTTTTCCTACATTACAAGGTAAAAATTTGTTTCTTAATATTTGTGTTTATGTGGCTTAGGAAACTTTTGTGCCATGAATAAGTGGTGTTTAATCAAATCAGACAACACAGGCATATAGAATAAACTTGATTAAAAAACTTACATAGAAGAATATAATATTAGACATGACATAAAGAATTGAGTTTACTTGCCTGGACAACTTGGGTTTGTCTGGCTTTTGTTTTTCTTATTTTAAAAAAATAAATGTATAGTAAACCTCCCAAAATTAAAATGTAAAAAAACATTCTTAGCTCACAGGCCATATAAAAACAGGTGGAAAGCAGAATATGGCCCATGGGCCATACTTTACTGACCCCTAATGTAGTGGAAACTGGTAGTTCCCCCACAGCCTCTCCTCCCACCCCCATTGTGTTGCAGCTATTTGAGTGTGGGGGGGAACTGACCTACCCCTAGATCCAGAAGGAGCATAATTGTGTTAACCTAATCAATTAATTGGTACCACCTTGACAGAGTGATTGCTTCCAGACCCAGGCCAAAGTCAGTCAGACATGGTATTATACCGGCCAAAGTGACTACACTGGGTATGTGAACCAGTTTATCCAAAGAGATATGAAGGGAGATTAACGGGCTTTTGGAAAAGATGCATCCTTGTTCTTCTGTGAAGACTAATAGGAGCTATTCTCTTCTCCCCTTCTGGAAGGTGTGGGAGTGTATCAGCCAGGGTTCCTGTTGTATGGGTGAAAATTAATAAACAGAAACCTCATCTAAAGTGGAGTTGGGAGGCTAGAAAAGAGAACTCATGCAGGTGTCACTCAACACACAATACTGACCCCCTACAGGAGGAGACTACCTTGCTCTCAGACTGGAAGTGATTAACTTACTACTTCAACTGGAGGGAGAAAATATTTTCTTTTTGCACTAACAGCTCAGCCAATGTGAGACCACCGTAACTCAGCCAATGAAAAGTCATTATACTTCCAACTTTTAGTTTCCTCCAATAGACTTTTTTTAACAGCCCCTCCCAAGTCCATAAAAGAGCAATTCCTCTCCTTTGTTTCTCTGGACTTGCATGTGGTTTGCCATTACACAGCATGTAACAAATTGAAATTCTTTGTTGCTCCAAAGGAAACCCATTTTGCTGAAGATATACTACTTAAGGTCAATACATGCAACACAAAATAAATTGGGCTCATTTAAGCAGAAAAGGAACTTATGATAAGCATCCAGGGTAACTGACAGACTCTCTAGGAGTGCCAGGAATTTCTAGGAGGACCAGGCTTTGAGTCTACATAGCCAGGAAGAATTTTACTGCAGAAGGGGTACAGTAGACCACGGTGGGGTCTGAGTCATGTACTAGGGAAGCTGGGAAAGGAACTGCTTGGTATTCTGGCTTTTGTAGTGGGAGATGGGATCTGCCTAATGAGGTGGAAGAGTTCTCAAATGTTGGGATTCAGATCCTGGGAGGCCAAAAAATGACAAATGACCCCTGTTGTGGATTGAATGTTTTTGTCTCTCCAAATTCATATGTTGAAGTCCTAACATCATGTGATGATGTTTGGAGGTGGGCCTTTAGAGGTAATTAGGCCTAAATGACATCATGAGGATGGGGTACTCAAGATGGGATTAATGTCCTTTCTCTGCATCACAAAAGGACACCTCTAGAAGGTGGGTGTCTGCAAGGGGGTAGGAGAGGCCTCACTAGGAAGTGAATTAACTGTTAGATTTGAACGAAAGCTTAAAGTTCCTGAGCCTCCCCCCCCCCATGAGAATGTAAACTTTTAGGTAAACTCATTTCGCTAGCCACATTCTGTTTTGCTTGACAACTTTCACTCCCTGCATGAGAACGTATCTGAAGCAACAACCTGTTCCTTAAATTCAATAGCTTTCTACTCCTACTCAAAAAAAAACAGACTCGGGCGCCAAAAAGTTCCCTCCCTGCACCCTGTAAAGAGACTTCCTCCCAACCACTGGGGCTGACGCCACTTGGAGCTCAGCCCATGTGTATTCAGATTCTTTAACCATCTATATTCAGATGTCCTAATAAAATTGCCTTTACCTTCTCACCTGACCTCATGAGTTCCTCCTCAGCAAGCCTAACACTGGCACCTTGGGCTTCTCAGCCTCCAAAACTGGGAGAAATGTCTGTTTTTAAAGACATCCAATTTATAGTATTTTGTTACAGCATCCTGAGAAGACTAATATAACCCCCAAAGAATGACAAATGATAGCCCTTTTGACACCATGAGGAAGCCCACTTGAGATAAAGCTGTCCCAGAGACAGAAACCAAGTGCTTCATGACAGCCTTAGGGAACTGAATGTAGGCTCCGCTGACGTCCACTCTGTCTTGAGACCATTATTGCATGACAGTCTCAGAGAAAGGGAGGAAAGCTTAGAGTAGACTTTTGGCCTCATGGTATACTGTCAAGAATCTGGGTGCAAGTGACAGAAACACATCTTGAATGAGTTCAAGCCCTCCCCCCAAAAGGGAAATGAATGACTTGGGGTCATTTTCTTAATAAATACTTATTGAGCACCTACTATATACTAGATACTCTTCTGAGCACTTGGAATACAGATGAAAACAAAACAGACAAAATGCCTTACCCTCATGGAGCTTACATGAGCAAGTAAGAAAAATACATAGCGTGTCATATGGTGATAAGTGCTACAGAGAAAAGGCAGAGAAGACTGGGAATTGCTGGGGAAAGTGGTACAATTTTAAACAGGTTGTAAGGGGAGGCCTCACTGAAAATGTAACATTTGAATAAGAACCTGAAGGGGAGGAAAAAAGTAATATCCAAGTTGGAAATTTTTCTTAGAACTCAGCTTCAAAAAAAAAGGGCAGGAGCAATTGTAAATCCCTGAGGTGGGAGCATGTCTGTCCTGTTAGAGGAACAATGAGGAGGAGACCAGTGTGGTTCCAGCAGGACCAGTAAGAAGAAGGAAAAGATGAAATCAGAATGGTACCAGGACTCTGATCTTCATGTAAGGACATTCACCTACTGAACATTTTACCTAGTGGCAAAACCACATGCCATCCTCCAAGGGAAGACTCAAACCTGGGGGGGGAAGGAGAAAGAACAGAGTGGCAAAAGCACAGGAAAGCCCTTAAATCCACTTTGCTGCCCACCGTTAGTCACTCTGGATAGTTATCTGCTAGGTCTGTGAGCTGAGGACGACGGTACGAACCATTCGTGTTCTGCCGATAACTGTTTTCATCCTTTCTGATCAACTAGGTGAGGTTCAATCCCGATGGTCCAAGCAGGATATACTATTTCCATCCAAAAAACCTCTCTTGGGAAACGCGAGTCCTATCCCTGTGGTGTGGTTGCTAAGCAACAATTGTGGGCGTGGCCACTGTGGGCGAAAGAGTCGGAGCCCCGCCCCTGCAGGACTCGAGTACTTCGGGACCTGGGGGTGTGTGTGTATAAACATTCCTATTTATTCTATTTTAGGAGTTCTTGCCCATATCGATGGATTATCTGGCATCGGACAAGGCATCAGGTACTTGACCAGTCATTTTGTCCAGACTGTCACATTTGGCAGCCCAACCAGGATCTGTTAGCCCGTACGCCAGATCTAGCATGTCGTTCTCCTCATCAGTGATCGCGTCTAATTTTTCGTATAAGTGCTTCTCAAAGATGAGGTGGCAGGTAGAGCAAGCCAAGGTTCCCTCACATGCACCATTTAAACCATCAATATCTTAGATTATTTTCAGTCACAAAATCTAGCAGAGAGTCACCGACTTTTCCTTTGGTTGTTAATATGTGACCGTCTCTGTTTAAAAAGCGGGCTGTTATTTTATCTTCTGAGCTGCAACGCGCCCGTGCCGACATGTTCAGCTGCTGCGTCGCCGCAGCGCCGCCGCCCAGGTGCGGCTCGGCGCTCCCGCCCGGCCCCTGGCTTCCCGGGAGGCTGCCAGCTCCCGCGTAGGCTCCCGCGAGCAGCAGCCACCGACGGGCCGCGCCGCAAAGGGCCAGAGAAGAGGCGCGCAGAAGCGGGGAACCCCCTCCCCCCGGCGGCCATGGCCGGCGGTCCAGTAACCACCGGATGCGACGCAAGCCGCACAGCAGCTGCCGCGAGAGGCTTCCCGAGAGTGGGCGGCCTGCCGCGCCGGGGCCTGACGCCCGTGAGCAGCGGCGAGGGTCCGGGCAGGCGGGGTACCTGAGAGGTCCAGCTCGTACCGCTCGCCCCGGGACACTGATCTTTAAAATCCTCCCCCTCAACTTTTTAGAAGGGCGAGGCGACTACAGCTGCTGCCACCTCCTTATCTCCACCCCGCTGGCTCTCACTTGTGCCCGGCTGTTCGGTAACAGCTCTTCTTCCGGGACTTCCTGGTCGCCGTGACCAATCAGAGTGTTGTTCCGTCCTTACCAGTGTCAGCCTGCAGCCCATCAGCGCGCCTCTACCAACGCCCCTTAAAGGCGCCGCCGACGCCTCTGGAGCTGGGGCGAACCCGTTCCTTGGTTCCTGTCCCCAACTGCAGTATGGAGTCGTCCCGGGGACGGCCCGGGCCCAAGGCGGACCTTCTGGTTCTGGGGGGAGAGGAAGCCGCGATTTTCGGCAGCGGGCCAGGCCGAACGCCCTCTGAGCCGCCCTCAGGCTTCCGGGTGTCGGAGGAAGAAGAGGCCGAGAACGTTGGAGGCTCGAGCTGCCACCCCAAGGCGTCCCCTAAGACTTCGAGCTGCAGCGTCGTCCACCGGCCGGAACTGGAGGCTCCAGAGAACGAGCCCGGCCGCACAGTTACGCCGTCTGGACCCGGGAGCCGCCGGGGGGCGCCGGGTCCCGAGCACGACCTGCACGGGCCTTCCATACACAAGGACCCTGAGCCGCCCGAGGACAAGCCTGCATCCGAAAAAATCTGCCGTCGAGGGAGCTTGGGAGGCGGCGGGATGGATGTTGAGCTGGAGGAGGAAGACGACGAGGGGGCGGCCGGCAGGGCTGGCAGATCGTTTTCTAGCCGCCTTCAGGACAGCCGCAGCCTGGATGGGCTGAGTGGGGCGTGTGGCGGCTCCGGGTCCCCAGGGGGTGCAGAGTCTGGCGCGGGGGGCGGGCGTCGCGCCACCATCTCCAGCCCCTTGGAGCTTGAGGGCACTGTCAGCCGCCAGGGCGACCTCACTCACTTTGTCGCCAACAACCTGCAACTCAAGATCCGTCTGAGCAGCACCCCTCAACCCCCGCCCCCTGCCCCTGCGCCGCTCTGTTCGGCGCCCTCGTCCACTCCGGCCATCCCCCCCATCGACCCCGACGTGCTGCGGGACCTGGAGCGGCTGAGTCGCGAGCTGGGCGGCAGGGTGGACCGTCTGCTTCGCGGGCTGGGTGGCGCGGTGCAGGAGCTGACAGCACTGAGCGTGGGCTGCATCCAGACCTACCGCGATGCCGTGGATTCCCTAGGCGAAGCCGTGGACATGAGCATCAAGGGGATGTACACCCTGCTGGCGCGCTGCGAGGAGCTGGAGAGGGCTCTGCAGCCAGTGCAGGGGCTGGCGCGCCAAGTCCGGGATATCCGACGCACCCTGGAGGTGTTGGAGGCTCTGTGCAAGTGACCAGGAGGGCAAGAGAGGCGAGGCCAGGCCAAGCCAGGGCCCAGTAGGCTCCTAAGGACTCTTCAAGGAGCTCTGGTAGCGAGATGGATATATCGGAGGCTCCTTCAGATGCAGTTAGCAGGCCTGTGTCCACTCACTGGGCCCTATTCAGGTGTATATGGGGAAGTTCTAAAGGTTTTCCTGGTGGGAGGGGATGATGCTCAGCTTCTACTCAGTTGGCCATCTGCAGCTACCTTGTTCTCCCCAACTCTCTTCCCTAGCTAAAGCATCGTCTTTGGGAACCCAGAGCTTCAGGTTTGGGCTTAGGAGACATGACTGCCACATGTGATCAAGAAAGGAGAACAGAAGAGGCCCCAGCCCGCACTGTGGCCACTGTGACTCCAGTGACCACATCTCAGGTGCCAGGGACTATGGGACCTTGATTTGGTCCTTGGCCACACACCATGCAGACAAGGATGCACACCTGCGGATGGATAACCTCCTGCTTCTGCCCGCTGGCCCCATACCATTCCATCTCAGCCAGAACCAGGGTGGAGCTAGAAGGAATGCATTGCATGGTAGAGGGGTGAGTTGGGAGTGGTGTCACTGCTCTCAGGGTTCAGTAGAAATGTTGCTGGTTTTGAAGCGCACCTTTTGCGCAGTGTTCTAATCAGTTTTGACTTTCTGAGTTTTTGTGGAATTAAAGTGTTGCTGCTGCTAAGGCTGAAGCTGTGTCTGTGTGGCGTTACCGGGATTGATAAGCCAAAAGAATGGGAATAAGGGTTCATCTTTTTCGTGGAGCAATCTTGGGTCTGGTGCAGGGAGTGAGGTGGGGGGTCCCAGGCTACATGGGGAAGGATATGGTTCCTGCTCTTAGGCAGCAGGTCTGAGAGGAACTGCAGTACACAGATATGACCCAGAGATCCGATGAAAACAGAAACGAGGCAAGGTGCTCCAGAAGAGAAAGGGAAGGGATTATCTTGTCAGATCCTAAAACAGACAGAGACTGTGGGAATTGGACATCTCGTCTGTGGAGAAAGATGGGGAAAACTTGTTAGCTCCATTCCTGATCCCATTTCCCGCACTGCACTTATCAGTGCCACATGTTTGGTTTGAGACGATCTTTGTTCCAACTCCCAGCACCCTTCTGTTAAAAGTTCACGTGCTAAGTTGCAGCAACCACCATGTTATGGTCAGGAGATTTAGAAAGAGATATCACAGAAAGAGCTCCAGTTCTCTTAAAATTTACTCCTCTCCCTCAACACATTTCTCTTTTGTATGTACAGAATTCTGGGATTGGGAACGTTCCACAAGCCACGAGCCTTTTCCAGTAACAAGAAATTCATCAGTAAAAGTGTTCCTTTCTGGCCCGTACGGGGATCGAACCCGCGACCTTGGCGTTATTAGCACCACGCTCTAACCAACTGAGCTAACCGGCCAGTTGTCTTTTGTTTTGACATATAATACTATGTAGAATTCACAGTACTGATGTGTCCTGTCTAGAAAAATTTGAAAATGGATACAATTGCTTTGGGAAGGACAAGCAGAATCCAAACACTAAACCACCAAGCATTGCAGAAAGTAATGACCAAGATGCACAGCACTGACAGGCACAGATGATGTGCTAGGTGTAAATAAGGAGATCACGACTAACAACGTGTACATAGTGTTGATTACCGGGGAGGGGCGGATATGAGGGAGATTCCATAGGACAGCGCCTAGAAGCTCAGCGACTCTTCTCCCAGTGTCTCAGCAAAAGTCATAAGCAGCTACTTAGGCACCGCTGGGATTCGAACCCAGGATCTCCTGTTTACTAGACAGGCGCTTTAACCAACTAAGCCACGGCGCCAGCTGTTGAAGGTGTGGAAACCTCTTTCCTTGGCCAGGTCAGCTCCATGGCAGGTGAGTTAATGTCCAGTGCTATTTTATAACTAAGCTTTGCCTATTCTGGAAAATGCAGGAGGGACGAAAACCCCTGTTAGTGAGAGAGGATGAAAGGGTGACACGTAAATTGAATGTGGGCAAACGGAAGATAATAAGAGAATTTCTTACTTTCGGATTACAAAACGTGGCATAAACTATAAGGACCGACGAGGATGGGATTCGAACCCACGCGTGCAGAGCACAATGGATTAGCAGTCCATCGCCTTAACCACTCGGCCACCTCGTCCACAGCAAGTTACTTCCGGCTCCGCTCTCTGAGGTCTGAACTTTTATTCCGCAATAAAAAATGGACCTGCCCGGGTCGCAAAGGGACTTCATTCCTTGAGGTTCTGCCCAGCGCTGCGGAGACTGCACGCCGAGCGCAGAACTGACCGAGCGACGTTCTCGCCTGCGCGGCGCCCGACTCCGGGTTGAGCGATCTGGAACCTGCGCCAGCTCTCAGCCCAGATCTACGATCCTGGACCCGCCCCAAAAAAACCCGCGGGATTGTTGGGCTCCCCGACAGGACGGCGCGAGCCTTCGCGCCAGGAACCCTCTCCTTCCGGCCCCCACAAGCTGTTGCTTCTCCTACTTGGGCAGTGGGGCTCTAAACGTTTGAAAATGATGGCAGTAAAAAGCAGCAACGAAAAGCCTGACCCCGACGTGATTTGAACACGCAACCTTCTGATCTGGAGTCAGACGCGCTACCGTTGCGCCACGAGGTCGACCGGCCACAGGGCACGTCAGGTTTCTCCTTAACCACTGAACGGTTTTGTTCTCCAGTGGCCGGGATCCCCTGTGATCGAGGAACCGGAGCCTAAGGCCTGCCTGAACTTGAGCGCGCTGCTGGCGTTCCCTCACCCGACCCNAAGTCCCTTTCTTTTTCTTTTTCTTTTTCCTCAGAGTCCTGTCTTCTCTCCTCACCCATCTTCCCTGGAGTCAGTCATCACCCGTGTGCTGAGGGCTCCCACCTCCGGATTTCCAGGGCCAGTGCCTGCCGGCAGCTCCGCTTGACTCTGTCATCCTTCCTTTCCAGTCCTTCTGCGCTCCCAGTGAGTGGCCTTCACTCTTCCCTCTCCCTCACCTTCCACTTCCAGTCGCCAAGTCCTGTTGATCCCATTTCCTTCACAATTTTCGTGTCTGCCCTCATTCCCCATTCCCATTGCCATCCCCTCAGTCTCTCTTGTAATTGACCCCTTTATGAGCTCTCTGCCTTCAAAACAGTAAAAGAGAATTCTTTTAAAAATGGAAACATGATCCCATCACCCTGAGGCTTAAAACTGGGATTAAGTCCTAATTTATTGTCTGGGACCCCAGAGCCAAGAGCTTCTTAAGCAGGTGGGCTCCGGAACCAGGTTGCCAGGGGTCACATGCAGGCTTTGCTACTTACCAGTTGTGTGACTTGGGCTAGTTATTGAACCTCCCTGGGTATCAATATCCCCATCTGTAAAATAGTAAAGGCTATAATAGATTACTATTCGTTTCTTTACTACAGATAATGTGCTCAGAGCCTGGCTGGTAATAATCACACAATTATTATGGTTATTATTTTTGTATCTGGTCCTTGCCTGATTCTTCAGCCACTGCCTCTTCATCTCCCATGTGACAACCATGCTCACTCATTTACAATTGTCTGAACTCAGTCCCAACTGTCTCTGTGCCACTGTCCTTGGTAGTATTGCTTGGTGGTCTTCGCAACCCTTCCTTATCTGGTTNCTGTTAAAAGTTCACGTGCTAAGTTGCAGCAACCACCATGTTATGGTCAGGAGATTTAGAAAGAGATATCACAGAAAGAGCTCCAGTTCTCTTAAAATTTACTCCTCTCCCTCAACACATTTCTCTTTTGTATGTACAGAATTCTGGGATTGGGAACGTTCCACAAGCCACGAGCCTTTTCCAGTAACAAGAAATTCATCAGTAAAAGTGTTCCTTTCTGGCCCGTACGGGGATCGAACCCGCGACCTTGGCGTTATTAGCACCACGCTCTAACCAACTGAGCTAACCGGCCAGTTGTCTTTTGTTTTGACATATAATACTATGTAGAATTCACAGTACTGATGTGTCCTGTCTAGAAAAATTTGAAAATGGATACAATTGCTTTGGGAAGGACAAGCAGAATCCAAACACTAAACCACCAAGCATTGCAGAAAGTAATGACCAAGATGCACAGCACTGACAGGCACAGATGATGTGCTAGGTGTAAATAAGGAGATCACGACTAACAACGTGTACATAGTGTTGATTACCGGGGAGGGGCGGATATGAGGGAGATTCCATAGGACAGCGCCTAGAAGCTCAGCGACTCTTCTCCCAGTGTCTCAGCAAAAGTCATAAGCAGCTACTTAGGCACCGCTGGGATTCGAACCCAGGATCTCCTGTTTACTAGACAGGCGCTTTAACCAACTAAGCCACGGCGCCAGCTGTTGAAGGTGTGGAAACCTCTTTCCTTGGCCAGGTCAGCTCCATGGCAGGTGAGTTAATGTCCAGTGCTATTTTATAACTAAGCTTTGCCTATTCTGGAAAATGCAGGAGGGACGAAAACCCCTGTTAGTGAGAGAGGATGAAAGGGTGACACGTAAATTGAATGTGGGCAAACGGAAGATAATAAGAGAATTTCTTACTTTCGGATTACAAAACGTGGCATAAACTATAAGGACCGACGAGGATGGGATTCGAACCCACGCGTGCAGAGCACAATGGATTAGCAGTCCATCGCCTTAACCACTCGGCCACCTCGTCCACAGCAAGTTACTTCCGGCTCCGCTCTCTGAGGTCTGAACTTTTATTCCGCAATAAAAAATGGACCTGCCCGGGTCGCAAAGGGACTTCATTCCTTGAGGTTCTGCCCAGCGCTGCGGAGACTGCACGCCGAGCGCAGAACTGACCGAGCGACGTTCTCGCCTGCGCGGCGCCCGACTCCGGGTTGAGCGATCTGGAACCTGCGCCAGCTCTCAGCCCAGATCTACGATCCTGGACCCGCCCCAAAAAAACCCGCGGGATTGTTGGGCTCCCCGACAGGACGGCGCGAGCCTTCGCGCCAGGAACCCTCTCCTTCCGGCCCCCACAAGCTGTTGCTTCTCCTACTTGGGCAGTGGGGCTCTAAACGTTTGAAAATGATGGCAGTAAAAAGCAGCAACGAAAAGCCTGACCCCGACGTGATTTGAACACGCAACCTTCTGATCTGGAGTCAGACGCGCTACCGTTGCGCCACGAGGTCGACCGGCCACAGGGCACGTCAGGTTTCTCCTTAACCACTGAACGGTTTTGTTCTCCAGTGGCCGGGATCCCCTGTGATCGAGGAACCGGAGCCTAAGGCCTGCCTGAACTTGAGCGCGCTGCTGGCGTTCCCTCACCCGACCCGGGCACGCCGCCCCGGCTTTGCGGGCTCCGGGCTCCGCGGTCCCTCCGACCCCTCCCCGGGCGCCCGGAGGACGAGTAGGTTACCTGGCGGACCCAGAACTCACAGCACAACGGGGCCGGACCTGCCCAGAAACAGATGGAAGGACGGATACCAGACCCAAGGGGACAGAGCGGGGACGGAGCGGAGGGTCCCAGAAGCAGTGAATCGGCTCCTGCGGCGGCGCGTCTGCTCCCTGGCCGCACGCCACGGTCGCCTGCGGAGGCTCCCGCACAGCCGTGCACAAGCTCCAGACTCAGTCTGGCTTAAAAGTCCGTTTCTCTCTGACATCGGTAATTTTGTCACTTTTTACAGTTTTGAGGAATAGTTTACACACAACGAAGTGCATAGGTCTTAAGTGTATATTTTGATGAGTTTTAACAAATGCAACCCAGAACCTTTT